AGGTATTCAGAACAAAATTTTGTCCCTAATATCAATGTTATTACTTGAAAAAACTTGATGAACTCGCCGGTTTTTACCGGTCTGGAAATACTTTTAGACCGGCCGGTGACTGGCCGGACCGGACCGGACCGGTCTAGTATTTCCAGACCGGTTACAACTCTGGGATATTCCCCAAACACAGAAGTACGATCAGGTATATCAGTATGAACTGATAATAATTTGAGTATTATAAGGTTAAGAAAATTCATAATTGCAGCGCTTTTCGTTTTTTCGATTTGTATACATGGTTCGATAGAACTCGTCGAGCTGCATTCGAATATGTATGATTTGTTGAGGAAAAAAATTTTTCTTGGGTCAAAAAACCGAAAAAGCTGGAAAAATTGAAAAAACTCTGAATGTTCATTGTCAGTTCATCGTGAGAGATATAAAAGAGAAAGGGAAAATGAATTTAGGGCTTTTGTTGTAAATTCTATAACTTTGCAAAGAGAGATTGTGTAGAGTTGGGGGATGTCTCATTTTGATCAGAATTTCGCGGATTACACTTATGTCTCATCAAGAAAAGTTTTGAGGATTTTTTAGAGTTTCTGAAAAACCGGTCTTTGAAGGCCTAAGGGCCCGCTTTATTTCGATACTCGGGATCAGCACCCTCGGTCACTTATTATCCACTAGGTTTCGGCTCGAAAGCGATTTATCATTTGGTGGCCTTTCCTTGTTAGTTGATATTTTGACAGTTTCAACATAAACAAACTTATTTGTCAACAATCTTCTCTCTCTCACACTCTATATCTTTGTTTAGCGCAAGTATGGGAATAACCCTAACGTTTTCATGGTACCTGTCGAATCACAAAAACCACGATCAATAACAATTGCATCACCATCACTAATTATTAGCATCTTCACTAATATAATTGACTTTAGTCAGAAAATTCAGCCACTCAATTTCTGTTATATTTCTCTAATGTAGATAAAGTGGCATGTATGTGGCTTTTGACACTTTTGCGTTGTCGAATGCCAATAAACAAACTTTTCAGGTCAGATACGGGTATAAAAATCTGACACATTTACTTCAAGATCGTGCTTTTTTTCGTTTTACCCGGCAGACTCTTCACGATCTAATACCTTTTATTATTTTTCTGGTTCAGATAATGTGGGATCTTACAACTAAAGTAGCATTGATCAAATATTTTAGGAGTCAAGAGAAATCGTTCATTGATAGCTTATTGCAAGAGTCATGCTACAAAAAAACATAGATATGCAGTGGAGCGGCCACGACGCTGTCATTACCAAATACACGCAAAACAAGAAATTGGCTTCTTGTCGTATGTCTTGTACAGAAGAAATGTTAGAACACCCGTTCAACGTTCCATCCGAAGGCTAGAAAAGACAAACAGCATCAAGTAGTCCAGCAAGTGATAGTACTAATAGTCCAACAACAATATCTTCAACTCGACCATGCCATGTTGAGCCGACAAATTTAAAACTACATTAGATAAGTGGTCTCAGTATTACGATCTACAAAAGAGACGTTAGAAATTAGGCGTAAGTAGTTTATTCATCATGTAATGTAGATTTTCTAACAAATTATATGATTCACTTTTTTATCTTATCATACGAGAAATTTACACGATGTTTTATTATTGTAGTAGACGGATCTGTTTTTATAAAAAAATTAAATGAGAAAGAAATATTATGTCGGCCGATATTCGAGTACCACCATATTAAACCAAAAGATTCACAAAAAACAACAGCAGCGTTTCTTAATATTCAAGGCCATTGCAGAATTCCAACATGTTATGTTAAATTTGAATTTAAATTAGTTCACAATGATAAACCATTGGATCCCATTAAACCATTGGATCCCTGTTAAATTTCGAATAACATCAATCGGAGAAACTTGTCTTGGTGATAATATTGAGCGACCACAGTTAACTGGATCGAGACAAGAAGAAATAGATAAGTTTAATAATTTCTGTATCTGAGACGCTGTTTTTTCTGAGCGATGAGAAACAACTTGAAGTATAATAATGATGATATTTTACTCTAATGTTACCGTAGTTTACTGTTGAATACACACAAACCCAGAAGTATTCTCCGTCATAATGTGACATATATATATATACCTCCGATTAATAATATTTGATGAGAATTTTGGTTATTTTCGACTCTTGACTGTACATAATGGCTAGTTTTTAATTTTTAATCAAAAAAGCATGCAGAAGGTTCAGCTTGTATTCTATAAAGAATTCAAATACTACGTACAAAATGTATTATTCAATGTCGATGATCCTAATAACAAAGCACGCGGTACTATACAAATTCTCGGCCATCGGCCATGTACCTCACATTTTTTTAACAGTGCTCAATTAGTACGATATATTAAATATTGTAAACTTCAGTTCTTCATCTCGATACAACGGGTAATGTGGTAAAAAAGATTGACACTCAAAATCAAGTTGTTTATTATTCGTTGGTGATAAAAGATGGCAACGATCCATCGAATTTATTATCGGTTGATGGTGTTTTGTTCACTGATCCTTCTGTTCGAGGGATAAATTATTTTTTAATGAGCTTTTGAAACGATATCAGTGAACTAAACAAGAAGATCTTCGTGCAACCAAATTTTATATGTACTAGTACGTACAAAGCTCTACTGCGATCCTCAGCCATTAAAGTCGATTTATAATTAGATTTTTCATCAGCGTTTATTAATTCAATATTATTAGTATTTAATGGAGAAAAAATTAGGACTTATTTAAAAAGAACATGGAATATCATACAAGGCAAGTTTGCATTATCGCATATTAGAGATCAATTGTTTATCGTAATATATTGCTAACATGCCATAAAAGGATTCGTCAAAAGTTTATCTACACGATACTGTCCGCCCGAATATCATCCATTAGTTGTTAAATATTTTGGAATTACTACTGAATAACACAATACTCATTTTAATTCTCGAAAGATCAGGAAGTTATTCACCACTTGTATTTTCAACATTGTGCATCGGTTATACTATAGTAGCCATTGAATTCGCACGTGGAATTCTGACAACTGACACTCGACTTGCGACACTTTTTCGTGCGGGTGCATAAGCATCTTCTGTAGGTGTTGATGATGGTGGTAGCGTTGCATCAACGCATTTTTTAGTTTCAGTTGGGCCTGAATGGATCTCAACACCAGAAACAGTAGCAGCAGAAGACTTTAGACGTTTCAGTTTGGTTACGCTGATCGTAGCTGTTGATTTTTTGGATGATGGTGGGGATGGGGATGGGGATGGTATGATATCCGATGTTAATGAATCCCTACTACGATGAATCTGAGATCTACGTCGGATTTTTCTGACACTAATAGGCGTTCGCCTTTTCGATGCCTGCTCTGCCACAACGACCGTCGACATTCCTGTGTTGATATTGGATTCGAGTAACGATCGTGTACGTAACAATTTCTGAATCGTCACATTGCTCCCATGCGCATCGCGCTTAATATCATCAGCAGCCACAGGTGCTTTAATTCTCAAATTACCTGTTGTCGTTGTCGATAGGCGCTCATTTGTGGAAACTCTTTGAATAGTAACGCCGCCTAGACTCCGAACTGAACTGGATAGTGGTGGCTGCAGCGGTGCAGCATTAAGATCGAGACCACTGAGAGTGGTGACACTTGTCTGATAACTGTAGCGGACACGACTATTTTGATTATCATCACCCAAATTGTCGTCCAAATAACTTGTTCTTGGTGTCGATGACGTGGTGGTATTATTGATCCGACTATGACGATGACGACGGGATTTTGCTGGGATCAAATCTGTTGTGGAACATGATTCTCCGCTGACGCGATCCGTCGGCCGCTGCGGATTCACTATCAAATATCTCCGTCGTACTTCTTCTTCGTCTTTCTCTTTCTCACGTTTTCGTCGACGACGTCTGGCTGCTGCACCACTGTGATAAAAAGACACATAAAGTATGGAAGCGCAGTGGAGTGTATAATTTCAGTAAAAAAACATTTTTACCAGAGCCACCAGTAACAACAGCAGCAGCATAAAGCTAAAAGTGGAAGTATTACCAGGATCGAGAGACCAATAATCAACGGGATGTTGAGATCTGCCGGATTTGTAGTTGTAGCTGAGGAAAAGACAGACTTTGAGCGGTACTTTTTTCTTCATTCTCCTGATACTTTCTTTCTATTACTTACGTTGCACAGATACAGTCGCAATAGTTTCATTGGCGGCCGTCGTTGTTACCGTAGTAGTAGTGAGGCTAGACATAAAACAAGATTCGGAAGAGAAGGTTGAATTGAGTCATAGTCATACAATTACAGTCTATGTGATGGATGTGTGTAATGATTCAAGTATCACACTGTCCGATATTGCTATTCAGTTCAGTTCATCGTCTACGACAATGGGTTCATAACACAGTTGACAACTAATCCGAGTCTTTGGTATAAGACAGTTACATGGACACCGACTTCGAGTGATGCAGGAACACAAATATTCTGTGCACAAGCAATCAATAAGTAAAATACTATTTATCATCACCTATCAGCTTTTCTGAGTTCTTTGTCTTTTCTCTTTTTTTAAAGTGTTCCAGTTGTGTCATTACAATACTGCTTTACATTTCTCGTCGGTACTAGTAGCATAGGCGTACGTCTAGGAGTTACAATAAAAACCACCTACCACCACAACGTAAGTAATAAGGCAATATGCCCTTTTTTTGTGGAAGCTGCAACAGTGCAGGCTTAGTGCTTTAGCTTCGCATCACATGAGTCCGTGAGACTCCTCGATCAGATTGTAACTGTGATGAATTTTTCGTTTTCCGTTTAGAACTTCTGATGCTAACAGCAGTAACTGCACAACAACAAGAACAGCTCTACATACGACTACGATTATGACCGGTGCGTAGCTGCTTTTGCCAGGTTGTTTCAATTACTGACCAGACGATTGATGACAGAAACGACCCTTTTACCATAGCGCTTCCACGTAACATATGATTTTTATTTGCTTTTCATATTCCAGAATCAAAACTGAAGTTACGCAGAATTTTGCAGGAGATAGTTTGTTTCATATCAAAATTCAAAGATCAAAAGTTGAAAAATTTTGAAAATATATTGACTATAAATAATTTATACCACATTGAATTGATGAAGTTTTTGATGCTCAGACAGAAGAAGTATGGCATAAAGAAAAAAAAGAGGATAAATTATAAGCTGTTAGTTTTTGGTTGTAAACTCTTCCTTTTAAATTTTATTAGCAGAAATTATTTCAAAAACATTTCGGAAGAATCTTCTTCCTTCTTCAGTTTGCAAAAAATAATGAATAAAATATAGAACTATTTGAGAAACACATACTATATAATTTATTCTTTTTTCCCTTGTATATTTTTCTGTCTCTCTATAATAGTGGGAACGGACGGACAACAGGACGTGTTAC